GTAAGCTGTTTAGATACTTATATGAAATAATTTCTAAGGTGAATTAAAAAGGAAAGTGTAGAACACTATATATAATGCTACATCTTGTTTAAAAAAATGAGTAAGGGGACAAATGTATATTTGGTTGGTTACCTATGGGAAAAAACAGGAACTGGGCAAATGGGGAACAAAAATGGAAAGTTGATTTTTATACTTTTGAATCATGTGTATGTACTCCTTATTTTAAAAAGCTAGATGCTTCAGGTTTCGAAGACAATTCTATAAGAGGAAAACTCTAAAAAGTCCTGAGCAAAGACAAAATAACTTTTGGTCTCCCAAGATCAAAGTGAGATTTTTGTTTATCATTTGCACCCTGTAACCTGCCCCCTCTCTTCCCAGCAATAAAAGTAATATAAGTTTTACTGTGAAAGGTTTGCAAGAAATAAACAAATTTTAATTTTTCTGACACTTTTCAGACTTTCCAGACAATTTTTCTATATTTTTCCCACTTGACAAAATAAATTTTATTCCCACCCAATAAAACTGTAACACAAATTACATTTAAAGTGGATATGTATTCACTCTACGCACAGCATTAGTAACTAATCCTTCCCATCCCAGGTGAGGGTTTTCAATTACAGTGTCCCTCCCACAGAGGAAGGCAAGCAATTCATCTCCTTTCTCAGAGAGAGAGAGTGATTCACAGAAGGCCACACAGACCTAAGCTGTGCAGGTCAATAAAAGTCCTTCTAGGATTTCTCTGTTAGAGCATCTTCTTGTCTTTGGGGTTATAACCCTAGGAAGATGCCAAATTACATCTTGTGACATAATGTAAAGGCAATTAAGCCAACAAAGAGAGGAAAGAAGCCCAGAAAGAGAGACACAGAAAAAGATGCAGCATTATTATCTGAGCCCATGAATCCAGCTATACTTATACTTCTTGGTGATGTGAGCCAATATATGCTCTTTTTAGTTTAAACTAGTTTAACATGTATTCCTGTTCCTTATCCAAGAGTTCTGATCAATATAGTTTATCAAAAGTTTTTCATATTGTTGAAAATTCTTTAGAAGCCTGGTTTGAAACGCTGATATAACATTCCATTACATGAATATACATACCATAATTTATCTCTCATTACCTCATTAGTATTAATACTATTAGTATTCTCTTACTATTGATAATTTGGGGTTGTTTCCAATTATTTACAATTAAAAACGTTTCTTTTAAAAGCCTCAACCGCAAAATCAAATTTCATCTTCATGAAGACTACATACAGAATTCCAAATGTGTGTGCCAGCATAGAAAACACTGGCCCAGACTTATAAATTGTATACTGTTTGAAAATCTATTCTTAAAGATCCCCAACATTTTGTCTGTTAAGCAGTAAATTAATAGGGCAACAATCTCAGAGGAAAATAATCTATAACCTCCTAGTTCCTTATATGCACAATCAATGACAAATGAAACCTTTAAACACACAAATCCCTAAAGCTATTTCTGCCCTTGTCCTATATTAATCTATCACTTCTTTCTCAAATGATATTATAGATTCTGTTCACATGAATTAAAAATATTTTTTAAAAATGGAAGTTAGTGTTACTTTTTAATTTGCTAAACCATGTTCAAAGGTTCTTTATAACATGAGAAACTAAAGTTCAAGCCATCATTTGTGTGATCTTGTTAAAATGGTGATAGAGATACTATAAGACTTCCTACAGCTAAGACATCTCTTGCCTCTTAAAAAAAAAGTAGGTAAAAAAGAATTAGGGTATTAAAACTATTATATATTAAATCAAGAAAAACATTAGTGAACATTCATTAACTAATCACAATTATGAGCTTGACTAGGGGAATATAATGAGGCTCACAGATTGAAAATATATTTAACCAAGTGGAATTAATCTACCTTTCTGACAATTTTTTCCCCCTTACAATACATTTCAATGCAAATATACAATGCCCTACCTATCACAGGATCTATTAAAGAATAACTTTTGGTATGAAGTCAATCCATTTAAAATTCTTTCTAAAAAGATTAGAAATACTAAGCAACTTCATATTAAAATGACTGGATTGTGGAATTGCAATTAACTTATCAATGGCCTTATTAACTTAATGAATAACACTACAGTTATTTAATATTCTTAGATCAGCAAATAATCTATGACTGTAAAATTAGCACTGTATTAAAAGACATCTACCAGGACCATCTCCTACTTCTCCATTCACGGCCACATCAATTCCTATGCTTAGAAAATGCCTGCTTCTGCCTCTAACAAAAATCAAAAATCTTCAAAGAGCTCAAGAACATTAAATTTCTTTTATGTTTGTTTCTTCTTTTTTAATAGACTTTGGGCACAAGTCATTATTACTTTCTTGGATTAAAACAGTATAGTTTTAGAAACAGATTTTTACTTTTCCCAATGGTAGCCTAATTACCTATTTTCAGTAGACTGGGTAAGAACAATCTGTAATTTAGGGTATTAAAATTTATCAATAGACAACCTATAAAAGATATGCTGAATATATTTGTGGTCGGAAATCCTCATGGCTTTAGTTAACATTTTGACTAAAACGAAGTGATGGCAAATTTCCAACAAATACTTTTTAACGAAAAAGTGAAGTTTCCCTAGAACGGCAAGTCAATTCTGTAGACTCTTTAAACACCAAGAACAAACAAAGACCCAGGCAAATAACTATTAACCAAAAAACAAAACAAAACAAAACAAAAGACAACCCAAAACTTCTCTTTTGGCAACATGTAAGCATAAAATGGGAAACCAACCTCTTAATCTTTTTTCTTTTTAATATATAATCATTTATGGAAATTAACTAGGAAAGTAAAAATTAAATTACTAAATAAATTTTATGCCACCCAAAGAGTTTAACTATTAGTAAATGGAGCATAAAAGCTTTCACTTCTTGATATCTGATTGAAAATCCAGAATGGTATCTACGTAAGAAAGATATGGGGAGGACAACTATTTAACAAAATGCTGGGGGAAATTTTTTCATTTAGTTATGTAGTAGTGTAAAATCTTACTTTTTTTGGTTAATAAATTAAAAAAAAAGGAAAACTATATGTTGAGCTTTATATTGTATATAGTGTAGGCCCTAAAAGGCTGGAGAAACATAGTCAAGTTAAACGATGTATGTTTAATTAAAATTCTTGCAAAAAATTGAGTACTTCATGGGACAATAATTCTCATTGCCATTCATTCTTACATTACATTGTTAATGATGACCTTTAAGTTAACCATAGTGTTAAGTCATGTATGTATTTAGTAAACTATTGCTTAATAAAGAGATAAGCAGAAATATTGAAAAACAAGCTAAAAATACAAACATTTAAAAGGAACACTCCTATAGTTACAAAAGTACCTGTAATATAAAGCATGTAATAAATAAAAAAACATATCACAAGTAACACATTCTTAATGAACTGAAGGCACTGCCTACATCTGGTTTGGTTTGCACAAACTAAAATGGAAGGCAGAAATCGTAACTACTAGCAAAACCCTACATCTAACTGTAGGAATTATCAAAACCTCTACCATGACTTTCAGGTAATAATAAGCACTTCCTTCTCCCTTTTGAAGAAGTGCTTTCTTTTAAAACGGAAATATTAATTGGAAATGACTTTAAAAAGAAGTTTTACACTAATTACAAAAAGATTATTAATACCTTGAGAATCTCTGGCACTTAAAATATAAGAGCCAGACTTCCCTAAGCACTAACTTCAAAACTTTACGATACTACAGCATCACTATGACATACATGAACCATGCACAATAACGCCCTAAAACAAAAGGACAAAATTGACGTTAATTCTTGGTCCCGATAATTTTTCTTAGTTCCCACAAAGATAATATTTTTGTATAACAACCTGAAATGTTAGTGAATTCTTTAAAAACTTGTAAATCCGTTCATAAATGAAACCTTGAATATTTAAAAATCACCACTCAGCTACCTGAATTCGTATATTTCTACACTGTTGATATTTTTCACTTTGAATACTGGGAAATTTCTAAGTCAAGAAAAAAGCCACTGGGGTCAATCCACTTATTTCCCTCTCCCCCCACCAAAAACAAACAAACAAACAAACAAACAGCAAAACCTCCTCCCCAGCTTTTCTCTTTAAACAAAACAAATAGTTCAACTCCTTTTTTTGGAGCTATCTTTGCTTTGAATTCTCCACCGCACCTTCATCTTAAACCTAAACGAACCCCAGACAAGACTAACCTATGTTTCCAGGAGACTCACAAGCGGTGTTTCACTGTCAGGTCTAGGGGCATCAGGAAGGCCCCCAGTTTTCAGACCATTCTCCCAGCAATTAGCAGAAGCTTACTTCAAGAGTGAATAAGAGGGGCCGGGAATGCTGGGCCCGAAAGGGCAGAGCCAGGGCCTAGACCACTGCACGGTCCCAGACGCGGCTCGCGCGGTGGGGAGGTAGGCGGCACCGAGAAGCGGACGCCAGAGGCCAGGGATGTCCATGTAAACCAGGAGGCGCTCAGACTTGGAGCGCAATGCTAGGGACCCCCTTCGCTGCCTCCTTTACCCTCCCATCCCCCATGCTGGAGAAGCGGGGCCCGAGCCGGTGCGGGAAGGGGGAGGAGGTAAACCCGTCCTGTCACTGCACCGGGAGCGGCTGGAAGGAGCACATGTTCTACGGGGAGAAGTCGCAGCCGCCCCTGCCCCGGCCCCTAAAGCCAGACACAACCTCTAGCCCCAGAGGTCCGTCCCTTGCGCCTCACCAGGTCGTAGTCCTCCTCATCATCGCACATGAAATCATCCTCCATGTCAGACATCTTGGCCGGGCGGGGGGAGGGGGAGGAGAAATTGGAGACAACCTCCTCCCACAATCCTTCGCGGCTTAGAGACGTCACTCCCAGCTTCTCGCCTTCCCGTCGCGCTTAGGAGAGCTGAATGTTTTTTCCCGGAACAAAAGCGCTCGGCATCGAGAGGATTCGCTACGACGCCAAAAGGGAGTGCACCGCCCTCTCTTCCTGCGAGAGAGGGAGTGCACCGCCCTCTCTTCCTGCGAGAGAGGTTGGTGCCTTAGCAACAAAACCTAGCAACTGGGGAATCGTCAAGTGGTGCGGTTGTCAACTAAAAGGCCTTGGAAACCTTGCGCTTACATAGAGCAGTTTCCAGCCTCTTAGGCAAGGGAACAGTCTCCTCCCTTGCCTGGGACTCTGGAACCATCTTATTCTGGTGAAAGTAAGAGGCAGCCTAGGACCAGAAGCCTTTCGCGGAGAAAAGGCTGACATGCCCGTGCTATGCGACAGGTATTATTTATGCTATCATTACCTATATGCGTTTAGCGCACACATTGCAGTGGGTGTACCTGTGATGTTTGGAAACCTTTTCAGCAGTGCAGTTTACACGTAATGTTTGTTATATTTGTAGTCGGCAAAACGATTCTATGGATATCCCAAATTAGTTAAGCATCAATCAGTTGAGGAGCCCAAAGTCTTCAGTTATTCAATGAATTATAAATTGACATTTGCTGCCCTTGGGACCAAATTAAGGTAGTTAACGAGTGGTTTTAAAAAACGCATTATTATTGCACAAAGTCATTAGCATAATTTGAAATAAGAAAATTAAATAAAAGGAAAAAACTACTTTTCAAACAGCATTTAGTTCTGTCCACTTGAATTCACAAATTTTATATAGTTATAGCACAGATGTAATAACGGATTCTTTTTGCACCTAATTATGTAACAGCATAGGACAATGTGTACGGTAGGTTCTTGACAATGATTGTTTTAAAGGCTGCATGATAATCCCTTGATTCAGTGTACCAATACACCTTAATTCACTTAAGCATGCCATTATTTTGATACATTTAGAGTGTTGCAAAAATAACACTATTTTAAACAATTCTTCAGTGAATGAATGTGTTTGTCACTTTATTTTTTCTTAGAAAAAAGTCAAAGAAGAGGATTTATAGGCTGGAGTTTTCAGTAATCACTTGTATTGACTTTTTTTGTCATAGTTCTTAAAAGTGATATAATAATAATACTGTACCTGTAAACAAAATTTTTCCCTAAGTTTTTCTTCCAATGTTTTATTAAGAGAAATTTCAAACATATAGAAAAATTGAAAGAATAGTCCAGCAAACGTGTATACACACTATCAGCTTTATTTATGTAGGTGTATGTATTTCCTAAATGAATTGAAAGTAACATGCATTGTCAACTCTAATTAAAAAATTAAAATTAAAAAAATGCACATATCATGAAACTCGTAAATGCAGCTATGTGTATCTCTTAAAAATAAGGACATTTCTTATATAATCACATCATTACACTAAGAAAATTAATTGTTTGATATCATCTAATAGTACATAGTCAAAATTCCCTTATTAAACATAGAATTTTAGAATTGGAAGAGCCTTTAATGATATCACTTTAGAGTCCAAGGCTTCTCAAGCATGGTAGTTCATTATATTATAACTTTCCAAATCTCATACCAGAGATTCTGATTCGTTAGGTCTCGGTAGAGCTCAGGAATCTTTACTCGTAACTTTTATTTGTAAAACAAAACTAAATCTCTCTGTAACTGGGGTGATGATACATTCACCCCAGTAGGACAGCCCTGGTTTAGTACTGTTGTCTCAGAATAATAATCACCAGCATCCATTACTCTCAGAAGTTTGGACAGTAAGTCACATGTTTACTTGGAATCTGTAATTCTTCAAAAGAGAAAATGGAATCTTAAAGTAGTCAAGAGATTGATTTGCTCAGAGTAATTAGAGATACATAGTTTTGCTTTTTAGTCAATATAGCAATTTTGAAATTATGTATTAATCATATACATACTAATTGCATTTATAAAACTACAAATTGATTTACATTAAATTTGTAGAATTTACTGCTTTTTAATGTAATTTATCCTATAATAGGGAAGGAATTAAGTAAATTAATAAATTTATTAATTTACTTTCACTAATTTAAGTAAATTAATGAATAGGAGCATTAGGAAAATGCAGATAAATTTTGAACATAATATCTTTGGCCATCTCCAAATTTAATAAGCTCAGTCTGAAAATTTGCTAAGAGCAGTTATAAAGTTCCTCACAGTGCTTTGCACACTGCTTGGGTGGGTACACAAGTGCTAATGAATGTTTTTTGAATAAACATGTTAATATTTCTGTGCAGGGAATATCCTTATATCTATTGCTACACATCAAAATCTTTTCTGTTCTTTAAAGTTCATTTAAATGTCATCTTATTCACAGAGCCTATTCTTAATACTTTGTGCAATTATTATATTCCCTTTTTCTTGACATCAGTTTCACTCAATGATAAATAAGAAACAGATATTTATTTTAATACTGTATCGATTAGACGTGGAGTCCTTGTGGAAAGTGGATTCTATGTTTTTAAAAAACATTTTACAGAAAAGCTTTTTTGAGGTATAATTTAGCAGCTTTATCGAGATGCATTAAACTACACATACTTAAAGTGTATACAATTTGATGAATTTTGACATATGTGTACAATTGAGAAACCATCAGCACAACCAAGAAAATGAACGTATTTATTATTGTGGAAGTTTTCTCGTTGCCCCCCTGGTAATTCATTGTCTCCTTCCTTCACTTTTTCCAGGCAATCACTAATCTACTTTTTGCCATTATGGATTAGTTTACATTTTCTGAAATTTTATATAAATGGAGCATACGGTATGTAATCTTATGCCTGGCTTCTTTAACTCAGTATAATTATTTTGAGATTCATCCATGTTGCATGTATCAATTGGTTGTTTATTGCTGAGCATTCCACTGTATGAATATACTATAGTTTATCGATTCACCTGTTGATGGATAGTTGAGATTTTTTTTTCTTTCAGTTTTTATTTGATACAAATAAAGCTGCTAAAAACATTTGTATACAAGTTTTTGTGCAGACATAGGTTTCAATTCTCTCATGTAATGTGGTGGATAGTCACTAAGGTGGTCTCCTCATTCCTCATGTTCTTGGATAATCCTTTCCCCTCTGAATATGTATGGGATCTGTGACTTGCTTCTTTTTTTTTCAGCTTTACTGAGGTATTATTGACAAATAAATGTGACTTGCTTTTAACTAAAAGATAGAGCAAAGGTGATATACATAATTACATTATACAAGGTTGTAAACCCATCTTTTTGGGAGAGACTCTGTCTCTCTTGCTGGCTTTCAGAAAGCAAGTGGCCATGATGTGGCAAGTAGCTAAGGGCGGCATCTGTCAGCCGCTAACAAGAGACTGGCCTTCAGTCTGACAACCTACAAGGAAATGAATGTTGTTTAGAGCCATGTGATCTTGGGAATGAATCCTTCCTCAGTTAAGCCTCAGATAAGACTTTGTGAGACCCTAGAGCAGAGGGCCCAGCTAAGCTGCACCCTGACTCCTGAACCACAGAAACAGTGAGATAATCAATGTGTATTGCTTTATACTGCTAAGTTTGTGGTAACATTGTTATGTACCAATCAATGTGAATACAGGTAAATACCTAGTAGTAGAATGATTGAATCATATGTTGGTATATGTTTAACTTTTTAAGACACTGTCAAATTGTTTTCATAACTGGTATTGCAATTTTATATATCCATCAGCATTGTATAAGAGTTCTGGTTGAACCACATCCTGGCCAATACTAGAGTGGTCAATTGTTTTGGTTTTAGCCCTCGAGCAAGACTAAAGTAGAATATCATTGCGGTTTTAATTTGCATTTCCTTAATGACTAATGTTGAACATCTTTTCATGTGCTTATTTGTGATCTATGCATCATCTTTGGTGAAATATCTCTTCAATTCTTTCACCTCTTTTAGGTTGGGTTATTTGTCTTATTACCATTGAGTCATAAGAGTTTTTTAATGCTTTTTGTGTTGTATTTAAGGAATATATGCCACACTCAGGGCACTAAGATTTTCTCTTAGTTTTTATTCTGGAAGTTTCATATAGTTTTAACTATTATATTTAGGTCTATGGCCCATTTCAAGTTTAATTTTCATAGATAGTGTGAGGTAAATATGGAGGATTATTTTTTTCTGCATATAAATATCAAATTGTTCCAGTGTTATTTATTTAAAAGATGATCCTTTCCCTATTGAATTATCTTGGCTCCTTTGTCAAAAATAATTGGCTATTTAATTCCCAACATAATTTGACTCTTTAAAGTATATTTTTGATAATTTTATATAACCTGTATTATGATTATTTTTGTTTATTCTTCATTAAACTGAAAACTGCTTAAGGACACAGTTAACTTACTTACTTCTGAATCCCTTGAAACTCAGCATATGCCTTGCCCATAGGAAATGCTCAATAAAAATGTGATGTAGTGAAGTAAATTCTAGTACTCATTACTCCTCACTGTCCTGGATTGAGACATATGGTTACCCCAAACAGGGTCATGATTTGGCATCCTTTCAGATTGATAATCTTAAAAAAATATTTTTTTACTACATTTATTAAGAAAGGCTGAACACTATGTAATGATGGCAGAACAGGAGGACTCCTTTTGATTAGTCAATATCTGGACAGGAAATTCATAATATACTCAGGGTGGGGGAGTTAAATAAAAAGAATTTAATGAAAGGACTATTTAGAGGGATAGGCGTAGGGATTGAGGGAACCAGTGATGTTGGTGAAACATCTAAGGACTAGCAACAGGCTGAGAGTCATTACCATCGGTTGAAGGCTTGAAGGGGTGAAAGGAAGAATGGTGGTGGTTTTACTAGAGCCCAGTAAGAGCGGGAGCCCTGGATGATCGACCTCCTAACAGCAGCCATGGTTATAAAGAAACACAGCTACTGCCGCAGCTATGGCAAAGGTGTGGTGGTGGTGGTGGTGGTGGTGGTGGTGGTGTGTGTGTGTGTTCCATTGCCCTTAAATATCCTGCCTATGACCAACCCCAATCAGAAGCCAAAGGGTAAAGGAGTCCAGGTACAGTCCATAGAGATCAGCCTCCAGGAATATGGGGAAAGGCGAGGAATGGATCCCAAAGTTAAATGGGGAGTAAACAGCACGACATTGTCTTGTGCAATTCAGCTGTAGCATGTAGCACTTCACCCAGGGAAGGAATTTTCTTTCCTTCAAAGGCAAATTAGTGACTATCTTGTTGTTGGAGCCTATCCCTTGATTTTACCAACCAACGTAAGTGGCTTTTCAAAATGTTGTTTCCATGTACATTTAATACCCACTCCTTTCTAAGAGGAGTTATGGTAAATACAGTTTGCATGATATCATATATTATTTCCACCTTATAGACTGATGCCCTTGCCTAGTTAGTTCTTTTAATCTGCCGCAGTCTCTTCAGAATAAATAAAATGATGTAGATAAATGCATCGTACTTAAAAAGTACTCAATAAATGTATAATCTATAACTTAATCAAGCTACTCATACTAAGCCTTCAGAATGCCCAGCAATTATATCTTTCATCTCTAAAATTGCCATTGGAGGAATATGCAAATAGAGGATGATCAAGCATGCTAGGAGTTTTCATTACTTACACTGAATTTAACCTTGTAAAAATGTCTCATAAAAATGCAATCACACAGGATGATCAAGCATGCTAGGAGTTTTCATTACTTATACTGAATTTACCTTGAATATACCTTGTAAAAATGTCTCATAAAAATGCAATCACATGATTTTAGCACTATTATTGTTATTTGCCATTTTGGTGTTTCTAATGCCCACTGTTTTAATTCTCACCCAAAATGGTGACCAAACCTCCCTAGTTTTGTGAAATGAACCTACTTTTCAGTAAGATGTGAAGCAGGGGGCTGACACAATTATACTGTACTGTAATTCCAAAATTACCTTTATTTCTTTTCTTTACTGAAATCTGTAAGTTCTTTGTGTTTTGCATTAATCCTCTCTCAATTCCCCTGTAAACTAAAACAGCAAAGACAGCCTTCAGTTGTCAATCGACATGAACAATTTGTACATAGGAATGCTGTAGCTGCATTCCCTTTTGCTATTCCCCATGCCACCTTTCCATCTTGGACTCTGTCAGACTTTTGCTATTTAACAGAATCTGCTTCAGATTCTAGAGATTCCTGTTTCCCTTTTTTTGACTCATTATAAACCATAATTTTCCCCTATTTTGCCTATTTTTTAGAATCTGTACTTATTTTTTCTCTGCTCCAATCTACTGTCCCTGCCTTCATCTCCATCTCTAATTAAGGACTTAGTTTGAGACCTCAGGGTTCTGGATTCTGGATGAGTTATTAGTACTATTATTACTGCATTATGGCTTAGATTTACTTTCATGGATTGATCTGAGAATCAAAAAATTTTAAAAACTCCTTTTCTCTATAGAATGAAACACACTTAGATGTTATAAGTTGTTTTGACTATCACAATTGTTTTCCTAGAAAAATAAATTCTTAAATTATGCCAGTCACTTGAGATCCCTTAAAATGCCTTCCAAAGGGGAAAAAAAAAAGAATTTTTTAAAATAATAAACATAATTACTTATTGAGGTAGACAACATTGGATGGTAATGACAAGATAAGATGAAGGTATTGTCAAGTTTGAACATCCTTGGTACCATATTTAGTTCCTGGGTCAAGAAAATAAAAAGAAAAAACAAAATATAGATTATAAATTGGGGCAGTTTATCTGCAATTTGTCCAGTCCAATGTATATACTTTAAGTTTGAAATGTAAACTTCTAATTTCAAAATCAAGTTAATCTAAATTTTTACATACCAGAGTTTGTTTTTATTCATGGAATATGTACTATATGGAGAGTTTGTACCAATTTTTATTATCAATTCATTTAGTTAAATTTTAATTTGCCAGAGTAATAGAACTTTTTGTTTATATTTATCATTATATCCCAATGCTTGGAATAGTGCTTAGAACATAGTAGCACACAATAAACATTTGTTAAATGAATGAAAGAATAATGATAGAACAATGGATGAAACCTAAAATGTAAATTCTGGTGGTAGAGATATAACAAATATAAATATTAATAAATAATTTAATTTTAGATAGCCATAAACACAACAAACCAGGTTTTGGGATGGAGAATGACTGCAGGGAAGGTTAGATGGTTTTTAAAATTTTTTATAACAACGCTATGAAGTAGATATTTTTAGCTCCCTTTTATGGAGGAAAAAAATCAGACTTGCCCAGGGTTGCAAAGTTAGTAAGTGGCTGAATCACTCTAATCCAGGTTCATTGATGTATTCTTTCATTAAACATTTCTTGAGTGCCTAATAGACACTGAGCCAGAGTTTATAAAACCAGAGTAAAACCAGAGTAAGTTTCTGCCTTCAGAGAGTTTATAATCTAGATAGAAACTGCCCAATACAGCAGGCATATCTTCCTAGTTGGAATTGAGATGTGCCGTAAGTGTGCTGTAAATGTATTTCAAAATACACTGGATTTTGAAAAGTTCAGATGAAAAAGTAAAATATCTGAATATTTTTTATATTGATTATATTTTGAAATGATATTTTGGATATATTGTATAAAATGTTATTAAAATGAATTTACTTATTTCTACTCATTTAAAAGTGACTTATAGAAAATTTAAAATGACATTTGGCTTGTATTTTAGAATCTGATTCAGTGGGTTCGGGTCCAAGATTGTATATTTCTAATACGTTCCCAGGTGATGCCAATGCTGCTGGTCTGAGGACCACACTTTGAATAGCAAGGCTCTAGATTATATAGACAGGAAAA